TTCTATACCTCACATCATAATTTCTCTATGCCCACATATTCTCTCATGAAATAACACCATCTAGCTCTTTTGTAGAGTTTTTTCATCAGAAGAACTCAAAGTGCTGTACAAAGCAGCTCTGGGTCATTACCCCCATTTTACTGAGGGGGAAACTGAGTCACAGAGAGGGGACGTGTTGTGTCCACAGTGACTCAGCAGGACTGGTAGTAGAGTTGAGAACATGAGCCAGGTCCAGTGTTTTATTCACCAGGCAATGCTGCCTTGCAACTCTGAGCCTGTTCCACAGATTATTTCTAGTTGCACCAGGATGAAATAACACTGATGCATCTACTTATATGCATTGTCCATAACATACAATCCATATGCAATAAAATAAGTAATAGTGATATGCATCTTGATATGCATTATGAGAGTGGTTTTCATCCACTGCGCTATTAGCAAAGTGTGTTCCATCATTCCTATTTTCAAGAGGGGCCACAGAGAAGTTAAAGTGACCTGTTCCTGACTACACAGCTGTGAACAAAACCCAGGGCTCCTGATTCCCAGGCCTACGGCTCATTCACTAGCCCACAGTTCTTCATAAGAGCAGGTTAGATAGACATCTATCAGGGAAGATCTAGAGAGTACTGGGTCCTGCCATGAGGGCAGGGGACTGGACTCGATGACCTCTCGAGGTCCTTTCCAGTTCTAGTGTTCTATGATAACCAGTGAGCGTGTGACTGGCGATACTGATAACCGTATGCCAACTGATCCTTTTAGCAGTCCCCATATCATTATGTTAAATGGAAACAGGTGGGTGACAGAATATTTTAAAATCTACCCCCTTTTCAATTGTGTTCCATAAAGTGCAGAGGGATTGGCCTCTTTTTAAACATTATCATGGTCCCTGTGGCTTCTGAGTGGGTCTTGGCCATCTTACTTGCTAGTGCAGAACTATTCTTTACCATATATTGTTTATTATTTTCCAGTGTTGAATGTCTCAAGCTTTGGGGTCACTATGGCTTCCCTTCAGCGCAACAGATCTCCCCCAGTAATATTCATCTACATTTTTCCTTCCTTAATTTTCTAATTATATCCCTTCCTGGAGGAATATGATAACAAAATACTTTGAGATTCTTGGGGGAAAGGAAGCACAGAAGCAGAAAGGATGATAATAGGTGTGATCAATATTGGAAGGAAAAAAAAAAGATATGAAACCATGGAATAGCAAACCTTTCTGTTCAGGGACCCTTGGAGCCTGTGCCACTGCAGGTTCATCTCACCAAGATGCTCTGCAAATTCTGTCCTTTCATAGCGCTTGCTTTCTACATCGCAAGTGCTTATCTGCAATAGTGACTGGTTAACAAAGTCAACCATCCACTGTTTAAAGTTCATCTCCATCAGGTATTCCTGAAAAACAGTTAAGATGGAAGTTTTAATTGCATAAATTCCATGAACTAATGATTTATGGTGTAATTATGTGGTATTCAGAGAAAACTTGTTATTCTGAACCATAATACAGTGCATTCCCTGAAAGATCCATTCTCCATTGTTTAAATCAAAATGGCCTTAGTCCTCTGCTAATAGGTGCAAAGCATGGGCTAAAATAGGTCCGTTTCTTTGTCCTCACTCATGCAGATAAATCTTTTCAAAGACGACGATTCTGCCCAATAGCTGCAATTATATGTACTAGGAAATACCATGTTTTTCCTTTAAAAGAAGGAAGATCGGGGCAAACGAAAGCAGATTCTCTTTAAATGGTGAAAGGACACCATATCAACAGCACCATCCTGCCTGGGGCCTCTGAGTGATATTGTAATACAGATATTTAATATCTCGGTGCCTATCAGAATGCTCGTCCCTCCTCTCCCCCTCCTCCTGCCCCCCGAAAGGAGGCTTATCCTGGTGGAAAATTCTGAAGAGATATCTACAAGGTGGTAGTCAATTCTGTCATCCAGGGATCCAAGAATATGAACCTAAGGGACTAGGGATGTAAAATCCTGTTTAATTAGTTAACTGGTTAAACATAATGTTTAACCGTTTAACCAATTAAAGGGGGGGGGGGGTAGACACAGGGGCTACTCCAGCCTGGGTGGGCTGGATAGCCCCCCTCTGCAACCAGAGGCTTCTCTGGCTGGGCAGAAGCCCTCCTGGTTAACCATTCCCATCCCTACTAGGGTCAAAGAAGAACCAAGAAGGGGACTCTAAAAATTGAAAGAGCTAAGAAGCACCTTGGTACCACAGGATTAATTTTCACGAGTACACCCATGCTCTGAACAACTAAGTACTTAGATGTCTTAAGGAATGAATGGACATTTTATTCTGGCTCTTGTACTGCCCGTGGGGTTTCAAGCAGGTTTCAGGGAGTCCACCAAGCATGGGGTGCAGGGCAGAGAGCTCAAGTCCTACTGACAGGGCTGAGGGCTGGGGCTCCAAGCCTTGCCATGCAGGGAAGAAGCCAAAGCCTGACCAACTTAGCTTTGTGGGGCTCTTTGTGAAATGGAGCCCTGGGCAATTGCTCTGCTTGCTAACACCCTGATTTACATGCAGGAAAAAAAGCTGTGGCATAGGTGTACCATGGACATTTTTTTACCATGTTGCAGGGCCTCAGAAAGAAGAGGCTTGAGCTACCCTGTTGCACTGCATCCATTATGATGATACCTGAGCGCCTGTAGAAGATTTGTTCTTCTGCTCTCATATTTACCTTATATTTCTGAAGAAGGTTTTTGACCTGTGAGGCATTACTTCGCAAATTTACAGCGGCCTCCTCTTCTCTTTGTTGTTCCACATGGTTCAGCCATGCCATTATTTCTGTGATGGCCTCACGAGATGGAAGCTTTTCCATCTGAAGCTACAAATAAAGCAAATAATGAGTCTTCTGTACTTAATTTGCTAGAAATATTACATCAGACCCTCCAGGAGAAAGACAACTTTATCCCCAAAAGGTCTCTCATACTGTAATTATCTATGCATGAACTTGCAAGTAAACCCTGATACTCAAATTTAGGGTATGAGTCAAATTTAAAACAAGAAATGTGGATGTCTCTGAAGTCCAGAATAAGATGACTGTTGCCTGTTGAAACTAACCTTTACAGAAAATGACACCGATACATGCAAAATTAGGTAGAAATGCAGCAATAATTAAGACTGAGGGCAATTCTGAGGATGGTCTAACAGCAAGTCAGATGGGCAACAGAGCCATAAAGAAAAAAGTGCAGTCTTTGTGTAAGGTTGGCAGACCCTAGTTGGCTATGGGTGGAATTGAACCTGGGACCTCGGCAGCTTAGTTCATGAGCCTCTACCACATGAACTAAAAACTGAACTCCCTATAATAGAGGTAGGGAACCTTTTTTGGGTCAGGGGTTGCTGAAAAAAACACCCACAAACAAACAAACAAAAACCTTCACTGACGTGGCCCCCAACTAAGAAAGAGAAATACACTCTCCACATTCCCCAGGCTAGTGTGCTCCAGCCATGCGGGGAGGCTGGAGTGACAGCATAGGATCCCCAATACTTGGGTGGGGGAGCCCCAAGGCTCAAGGATCAGATCCAGGTAAGTCGGGGGCTGCATCTGGATGCCGGGCCTTAGGTTCCTCAACCCTATAAGCAAAGGCTGTAGAGCAGGCTCATTATTCTCTCTGTAAGTGCTCTCAGTGCCACTAGACAGGACAGTACACCCAAAAGATGCGTGGGTTACATTTGCATTATGTAGTGCTTCCCTGAATTCCATCAGAAACGTTTTAAAATAATTCTGCATGTCACTTGGCTCAAGGGAAGAAAGGACGTGCGATTCCCTCCTTACCTGGTGCAGTTTTTCTTGGATGGTGGGGAACTGAGTGATCAATTCTGCCCATTTTTGCTCAAATTGTGCCAAAGATGATCTAAGTGCTGCGGCATCCGTTTGTTTCACAAGAAGAAGCTGGTTGCCAGTGCTTATGACAGATGACTTCAAGGATGATTTTTCATCTACTTCCTTAGAAAATGCCTGAAACATACAAAGATTGAACAAAATATGATTTTTAAACATATGGACAGGGTCTCAATCAATCACAGGAGGGACTGTAACTGGATGGGTTGCAATTCTGGTTGCACCTTATCTGATGGAAACTTAAAACTGGGTGAGGTTCAGTAAACTCCAGAGAAAGTTTGAGCTACCCTGGTGTCAGCCAACACCCTTCTTCTCTATCCTTCTGCAGGATCCTTCAACTCCACTATGCTTCTACCTAGAACCCCTATCACCTAACAGGGCCCCAAGATTCCTATATTGGTGCTTTATGCTTAGGTTAGAACTCCAATGTCTTGAAAACCCTCCCCTTTCCTGACTATTTGTTGGGGGTTGTGGGAATTAGCAGCATGCTGGTCCTCTCTCACCCATTTGGGATCTTCAGGATGGCTAGATCTCCCTGTTCCCTGTCTTTGAAGCGCTGTTTGGTTCATATCCACTCACCCACAGAAATATCTTCAGCAGCGTGAAAGCCTCCCAAACTCTTTCACCCCAATTTAACAAGTGCAGCAGGACAGTGACATGCTGCCTCCCAGAGGAATAGTATAGCTACACTACCTCATACTTGGGATTATGACCTGCTGGTAGATTTTGGCAATACTAAAATCTCAGAGGGGAGAAGGAGAGATTATTATTGGGCATCTAACCACTGCAGAATTTTTTGACTTACAAACAAGCTGTCTATATTGTTTCTGACAGTATCTAAGTCTTGTGAGACATCGAGAGACTGCTCCTTCCAAAAATTCATTCTCTGCTGGGCAGACTCCAGCCATTTGGTTAACTTGTCTGAGTCTCTGTTGTAGCTACAGAAACAAAACAAAGCAGGTGAACAAACTAGAAATAACTCAATCTCTTAGTAGAGTCTATGACACAGTTATTTTCTCCTCTCAGAATTGTCCTTCCCTCCATCTAAAGATGTAGGCCGATACCACTCACAGGTTTATACAGTACAGGATAGCCACCCCCGACCTCGGAAGGCATCACTGCAGTAGCAAAGAATGGAGGCGTGGCAATTCTGTGCTGCTGAAAGCATGAACATGTAGATCGGAGAAATAAACACATTTATGGCCTGTGAGAGAAAGTCTCAGAGCTGCTGAGCCCAGAAAGACTCTCTTTCTGTATTGACTATGCAACTGCACATGGCTCTCAGGGGCCCTGCTGGAGGCCTGCTATCTGTGAAGAGGCTCTAAGTCTTCATATTGGCACAGACACCGCCTCAGGTCCTTGACAGAACAGCTCCAATTGGGACCCCTCCATGTGCAGATCAGGGGAGCACAATATGAGCTTTAGGTCACATTTTGATGCATGAGCTAGACGAGAACCCAGCTCACTCTCTCCTAGATACTGTAATGCCAATGGGAGTGAAGACATTATTGTCAAAAAGTAAGTACAGTAAAACTCCAATAGTCTGGCATCCAATAGTCCGGCACTCCTGATAGTCCGGCATCAAAATGGCAAGAGCTGAGTGAGTGAGCTTCGGCAAAAAATGAGTCACAAGGTAACAGCGGCAGCAGCTGAACTGAGCAAAAAGAGTAAAAAAGGCTTAAAAAACCCTAAAACATTACAGTATACTGTATACGCTATGTACAATAAAAAGGGTTTAGAACACTTTATATACAGTATATAATGTATACAGTATATATATAACCAGCTTATAGTACCTCCTGATAGTCCAGCATATCTGATAATCCGGCACACCTAGGTCCCATAGGTTCTGGATTATCGGAAGTCTACTGTAGCTATGACCAACTACACACAGGGAGCAGATCTAGTCAGTAAGAAGGTGGCATTTTTTAAATAGTTGCACTTTTAAAAAATACTTTATTTTCAAGTTGATATGGATGAACAAACACTGTAATTTAATTACACTGATATTTAATTACATGACTTAAGAAATATGCAAAAAAAACCAAACAGCAGCTGCTAACCCTAACTGCCCCTTGATTAGAAACTTACCTGACCAAGAGTTTGAGTAACATTTGAAGTCTATGCAGTTCATGGCCAACTTTATTGGTTAAGGACAACCACAATTCTTCTAGTTTCCCAGTCTGATTTACTAAATCAGAGCAGCTCACAAGAGTCATCAATTTTTTCCCTTCCTTTACCATCTGGTAAAGTCTGGCATGGTGTTCATCAATGTTTCTTTTGATTTGCTAGCAAAATATGAATAGTTTGCAAAACAACAACATTTTAAAAGAAAAATATGTCTATTAAAATGCATTTTATTCTCACAACTGGCATTTATTTAATTTTCTGTTATGAACAGTGGTAAGAATAATTTAGACAAGTTGTTTTTTATATTACCTTGTGATATAGCTCAATGTGTCATGATATAAAATGACAGAGCTGTATAGTGTAAAACAGAATTATTGTGGCACCGTATCTGGCATGGTTTTCATCAATGTTTCTTTTGGTTTCCTAGCAAAGTATAAATAGTTTGCAAAAACAACCATTTATTTTAAAAGCAAAATATGGCTATTAAAACATGCATTTTGTTTTCATAACCGATATTTATTTAATATTCTGTTATGAACAGTAGAAAGAATATTGGAGTTATAATTATTTTCCATATTATCTTGTGAAATATCTCGATGTGTCATTAAATAACACATAGCTCTACCATGTAAAATATTATTTTGTTACATTTGAGAATCTCATAATACAACATCTAAATTTAAATGATGATCTTTGCCACCAGTATCAGACATGCAACTGACGAAGCGGGTCTTTGCCCACGAAAGCTTATGCTCCAATAAATCTATAAGGTGCCACAGGACTCCTCGTTGCTTTTGCAGATTCAGAGTGAAACAGCTACCCTTCTGATATTTGTCACCAGTGTTCATCACAGTTAACGATTACGATAAATTCATTCCTTCCCAATATCACACAAAGTCATATCCATTTGCTTACTTTGGATTACAGACTCCTATAAAGACATCACACAAATATTTGTATGTGGCAAACAAGCACAGGCAGAAAACACTCCTTGTTAAATACAAAATATTCTTGAATTGCTAAAAAATTTATTTGCAATTAAATAGTCATGCACAGAATTAAGCAGTAGTGAAAAAAAAAAGCAGAATGCAGGCCAACAGGACAAAAGATCATAAACTTGACTCATTATGAATACCAGGGTATAGGAAATCTAAGACATTTAATATAACATGCTCCCTGAAAAGTGCAAAAGCCAAGTGCTGGCACAAAAACAATTAACTCCCACAGCTGTTTTAAGTAACATAACAGGCAAATCTGAAAACTATTTGACATCCTCTGTTAAAACAAAAGTCTTTCCTTCTCCTAACAGAAATGAGTCCCAGAAAATAACACCCTTCTTAAGACAGGTTATAGTATCCACTTTTTCAGCCTCAGCCCTCTGAATAAAATGGAAAGATTCCCCAGGAATGGGGATTAGCATATATCACTCAGTTTAAGGAGTACAGCAGACAAACATATTAATAGGATGCATCATGTGTTTTACACTCATTTATATAAAACTCAAGAACTCTGTTGTTCTAAACAACGGTACAGTTCTGTTTTCAGGTACATGGCACTTTTCTGATGTTTGGAACAAATTGCAAAATATTTACCTGCTTTCTTTCAAAAAGCACATTTTATTTTCTTGGAAAAGAAGAAAATTCAAGGTGATTTAACTATATATTTCTAGAATTTTGGAAGAGGCTGATAGAATTGATAGATTTAACCACTACAAAAGAGCTGCTCAAATATTTGGAAATCTGATTCTCACTTCTCATGGATGAGAATTGAATCAGTCACTGGAGTACATATCTGAATGCCAGCTTTTAGAGCAGCTGCAGGAATTAACTGATACTGATGGCTACAAATTACTCCCCTCACTGTTACTTTTCAAAGGTGTAAAAAGCTTTGTTTTCAAATGGAAATATATATTTGAACACAGACTACAGTTGCTATCCTGGCAAAAGAGAAGGTGACAAGGATTCTGTGCTAAGCAGGTATTTCTAAAACAGTATTTTTGCCATACAGTGTACCACGATTCTTCAAAAAAAAGTTATTAAACAGAAATAAACAAAAATACCTGGAGCAGTGTGATCCTCTCCATTACTCTTTCTTCTGTCTCTTCCACCAAATTCACAGAAGGCACTGTAGAAGCAAGTGCCTCTAATTCTTTCGTGAATGTTACGTAGTCCTCATCAAATTCTGTCCATTCCTAAAAGACAAGCCAAATGTTAAGGTAGTGTCCCTTTTATTCTATGTTTGTGCTCCACATTGAAAATGCTGATGCTTCAATATTTACATGTTATTCTTAATTCAACTAACAAAACAGACTGCTAAAGCAAGAACAGAGAATGAGAGAACATATATAAAAGAGTAGCTGCAAGTGATCAAAAACTGAGGATTTCAGTTAACACATACAGGAAATTTCTTACCCAAAAATTGTTTATGATTTTTATAAAAGGGGGGCAAACTTTTTTCATTTAAATGTATTATTAGTATTTCTGTACCGCATATGTTTTCACTCTCAGTCTGGGTGTTCAGGAAGTACTACAAGAAGTTATAGGAATTCCCATTTATGCTGGAGGGAGCCAAGGAATGTAAACGCATATTTGAGGGGTAAGAGATGAATTACTGACAATCAGAGAATGAACAGTTGGTCATTGCCCTCAAATGGACAAGGGTAGCAGACCACTGCTGGACCGAGTATCTCTAGCACAACAAGGGTTCCATTTTCCGTACCAGATGTATTAGAATCCATTACCTGTAATAAACCCTCTAAGCGTGCACCATATTGGGAAGACTTTTGTTCCAGCGATCTGACATATTCCACCAGCTCAGTCCAGAACTTTTCATTCTTTTGTAAGGTAGCAGGGCCCACCTTCTTGGAATACGATTGTATGACAAACATATGAGTGACGAGCTTCTGAAAAAAGTCCTGAAAAACCAACATTTATAGGAAGGTTTTACACGTTTCAAGCCTATTTTACTATTTTATGGCAAGTGCTTCATTTGAAATCAACTTCTTGGTATTATGTGAAGATGTGGTGGGATTTTGATCATAAATAATAGTGATGCTTGGTATTTATTATATACAGGCAGTCCCCGGGTTACATGGATCCGACTTACATCGGATCCCTACTTACAAACGGGGTGAGGCAACCCCGCACTAGCTGCCTCCCCCCCAGCAGACCAGGGAGACGCAGAGCGGCTTTTCTCAGTAGACACCTCAGCTTGAGAATAAAGGACTGAGGGAAGTGAGGTGTGGGAGAATAAAACTGAGCTCTGGAGAAATGTTTGGCTAGAGTGTCCCCTACAATATGTACCAGTTCCGACTTACATACAAATTCAACTTAAGAACAAACCTACAGTCCCTATCTTGTACATAACCCGGGGACTGCCTGTACTGCAGTGTTCTTCATTAATAGGTAGAGGGCATAAAGCTAATGAAAGGAAGTTTTTCTTCACACAGTGCATAGTCAACCTTGCTAGAGGATGTTGTGAAAACCAGGACTTTAACAGGGTTCAAAAAAGAACTGGATAAATTCATGGAGGTTAGGTCCATCAATACTTATTAGCCAGGACCGGTCAGAATGGTGTCCCTAGCGTAGGGAGGTAAGGGAGTAGTTGAGTAGTCGACTACTCACTTCCCTCCCTGCCTCCCTCTCCCCCTCCCCCCGCCTCTGTATGAGAAGCAGCAAGCGAGGCACAGGGCTAGGGGAGGATTCTCTGGCAGCAGCCCCTGTTCGTGGCCAGCCCCGGCTTTTTAACATCCTTACCCTAGCCTCTGTTTGTCAGGGGCTAGAAATGAATGACAGTAGAGGGATCACTTGATGATTATCTGTTCTGTTCACTCCCTCTGGGGTATCTGGCATTGGCCACTGTTGGAAGACAGGATACTGGGCTAGATGGACCTTTGGTCTAACCCAGTATAGTTATTCTTATGTTCTTAAGGCCTGCAAGCCAATGGCAGGGCCCATCAATTATAAGCGCAACTCCCTGTTTAAGTTCCCGCTAAGCCATGCAGCAGGCTATAAATAGTTTCACAGCCAGGCAACAGGGACCTAGAGAGGAGAGGGGTGGGGAAGCAGCAACTGGGGATGGGAGCAAGTCAGGGCTTGCAGGGAATGGATCTGCTATTTTATCTCAGGACTTCAAACACACCTGTGAATCAGGTAAAAAACATTCACTATTCTACAGTCTGGTTAAATGAAATAAAGAATGGTTAAGGGACAGACTGGGGTCAGGACCTTATATGGGAGTGCAGGGTCAGGAGCTCAATTAGCTTGTCACAAATGCAGACTCTGCACCCAATGAAACTGAAAAATGCTGCATGATTCCAAGAGCTCAGCACCCATACAGTGCAGGGAGTGCACATTCGAAAGGGGCCGAAAAGATCCATTGAGCGGGCTGGTCACACTTATAGAGTGGGCTGGTTTGGCCCAGAGTGATTTGTTCATCCTCACACAGAAAGTTGGGACAGGAGTTAGAAAGCAGGAGGCCCTATGCTAGACTCTTGCTCACTCCACTAGGTCACACACTCTTCCTTAATTAACCTTACCACAGATTTTAAAATATTGGCTATAAAACAAAACATCTTCCTGACATTTTGGTACAGTCAGAGGTAGCTCAGAATCAGGGATAAACAGATCCCCAAACCCAGACTCCTAATCCAAAGAGGTCCCCAAAAATGTGCCATTCCATCCATACTTGAGTGGCCATATTTATTTTGCCGTCCCATTTCCTCCAGGTAAACGAACAGCAGAGTGGGGGGGAGGGGGAAGCCCAGCAGTCTGACACCTCCTGCTTGCCAGCCCAAACTTTAACACCATGTGAAAACTTCCTTTTATTTACTGTTTTTGAAACAGTCTTTTGCAAAATATTTACTGTATTTACTTCAAGTACCTTGGACTCTCTCCTATGCTAGAAGTAGCAATAACTACTCAGCCATTATATTTGAGAAAAGTCAGTCATAGAAAGTCACACTTTACCATGATTCAAGCCATGCAATGTTGCATGTGCTATACCTTGTGATTTTGCAGATGAGACTGTAAAGTAGCTCTGTTTTTCGCTAGTTCCTTTGAGTCCTGAGCAACCTTCTCTTGTCCAATGTCTAACAATTCCGCCAGTCCATGAATCAAACCTTCGTATTGGCTCTCGCTGATGAAAGGAGAATTTAGTTCCACATACTTGGCTCTCAGAACCCCCCAAGTATCATCCAGAACATCCTAGGAATTAAACAAAATTCCATAAGCTTATTTCTTATTAGATGTAAATCAACCCAAAGACCTGCGTGCAACATTTCTAGAGTATCATATCATGCCAGGAGGCCTAAATCATTCCCTCCTAAAATGTCTTGTTTTGAAGAGTTAAATCGTGCATGACAGAATGTTGACTGCTCTGTATTCTTACCTCTAACTTATAAACTTCATGGACCAGAGCCATGGGTAACTGAAATTGCTCCCCATGATCTCTCAGTTTTGCTATTTGCGTCTCAAAGTTTTGTAGCTCCAACGCATATGCATCAGTTTTCTGAATTTAAAAAAAAAGGGATTAAATGTAGTTTTGCTCCTTTTGGTTTACACCCTTATTACTGGTATTATAGTAGCAGCTAAAGACTGAAACTCCATCGTGCTAAGCACTGTACAAACACATAGTGAAACACTCTCTACCCCACAAGTTTACAAAGACTGACAGTGGTTACAGTAAGAAAGTGACTTACCCCAGGTCACAAAGTCAGCCAGTGGCAGAGGCAGAAAAATAATTCACCTTTCCCAGTCTAGGGTCCTATGTACTGGGCCACCCACAGTTATTTTACTAACCCAGTAGTAGTCATTAAAACAACACATCACCCTCTAAGGATGCAGAATTTTGTTTCCCAGTGAAATCAAGAGACCTGGCATAAAGGGTCTTCTCTGAAATAAAGGAAGCTTTAGATGCATATGATTTCTAGATTTAGTTGAATAGGGTCTTTGAGAGATGGGCAGGCTAGTGGCTGTTGCATGCTCCAGAAAGGGCATGCAGTCTACCTCAGCTTCACTATCTTGTCATTCTGTCTGTCCTTCCTTAGGGTGTTTTAAGCCCTCAATCAGAAGTGGGTAGGTTAATCAATTCATGTACCATACTACGAATGATACGGTGCTTGTTGCATTTATCAGTTTACCAGGCATTCCTTATGTAAATGCTTATACTACTTGGGAAGTTTGAAATAAATACTAGACTTTCTACTTAAGGACTTTACATATATCTGTATTTTGTGCTTGCGTGTCTTGTCCTGCTTCCTTTCTGCCCTAACCTGTCGGGTTGGTGTGACCTGTGCCCCAGGATAGTCAAAGTGATCCAGCTCTGTGGTTCAGCTAGTAGGACTGCAATCAAACCCCGGGGTTACGTGAGAGCATAGTGTGGAGGGTAGGGGGCCTGAGCCAGCCCAAGCTATGGGCTGACCAGGCTACTGCCCGGGGTGCCCCATTGTAGGGGGCGCCACCGCACGGGGCTGCTGGACCAGGCGGGGGTGGTGCCGCGCATGTGCCAGGCGCCCAAGAGCGCCGTGCGCCCAGAGGTGCTGCACGCCCGAGGCTGTGCTCCCAGGGGCGCGGTCGCACTTCCGGGGCCCGGGGCGCACGAATGGCTCAGGTCAGCCCTGTAGGGGGCATAGAGATGGTTCACTGGGACTTCTCCCACACAGGTGTACCTGAGCAACATGAGACAGCCCTTTAAAAATATGAAATGATTTCTCATATTTTAAAAACAAAAGCTACAGACACAAACCAGGCAATCTTGTCCACTGCTGGGTAATTTTGTCTTAACTTAGTATTTTGGGTTAATTACCTGAAGCTGTTCAGCAATATTATGCCGACGTATTGTATTCAAAGTTTGTTGTAGAGCAGATTTTTTCTCAATTAACTGATCATACAATAACCTGATTTCATTCTGTGAACAGATAAGAACAAATACAAGCTCAGAAATGTACGCAACAATAAACAGCAATGATAAAATCACATGCAGCGAGAAAACAAATGGTGATTCATCATCTTCTTGAGCTTCAGAGGGGTAGCCAAACTAGTTTGTAACTGGAAAACTTTAAAAAAACAACAAATAGTCTAGCAGCACCTTAAAGACTAATAAAACATGTAGATAGTAACATGAACTTTTGGGGGTACAATTCACTTCTTCAGATGACTGGAGTATTAGACATCCAGTTCCAAAATAAGAAGGGGAAAAAGAATAATGAATCAGTTAGGCTTGCCAGATGCTTTCACCAAAAATCCCACCATTGCTCCTAGGGGTATCTGAGATCACCAATAAGCTAGGGAAAACCTTTTCTGGGTTTGAGGGGTGGAATTTGCTTTCTTTTAAATGTCATACCGCTCATTTATAATGCAAATGCATTCACACTGATACATCTAATAGATGCTGCACAACAAGCCATGCATTCAGCCATACAGTACCTGATAATTACTACTGTGATCCAGCCCGGCTTTCATTGACTTGCTTCTAGAAGCAGCAGCAGTTTGAGATAGTTCCAGCCGGGCTTGAACGTTGTTAAAGCACTGGACAAATACATCAGTGCTCCCATCGGCACAGGCAACAGACTTTAAAAGATCATCCTTTTTCTCTCTCATATCTGCATGAAGTTTTTGCAGCTCTAGAGACAGTGTCTAAAAGGATTAAAAAGAAGAGAAGGCTATTGAAAATGGTCATTGGTAGGGACAATTCACCTTTAAAACCACCAGCAGGACTCAGCTTTCTGCTTTTACTCATATCCAAAGGGCATGTTTTGCCTTCTCTGTGTAAATCCACTGACTTTGTAAAGTTACTCCTGAGTTACACCTGTGTACATGAGAGGGGAGACCAATCTATTCCGTTGTAATAGTGACCCAATGATGCCCATCCATCCACGCTTTGGTGCACTTACCTCACACAGTACCTGCTGCACAGCAGCCTCTTCATTGGAGAACATGCAGGTGTTTAGCATCTCTTCCATATTGTTTAAACACTGACTGATCGCCAAAAGCAGCTCAAAGAGCTTTTTCTCCAAATTTAAGGAAGCTTCCCCAGCTACATTTTCCTGTTTGAAGACAAGTTACAGCATTTTTTAGAGCCTTCAACTAAGTCAGAGATGATACTGAGCAAGAATATGGACTAAAGAAAAAGTGTGAGATACAATGGTGAACTATGCAGCTAACACAGGAAATTAGTAATAAAAAAACAGCAAAATACTGAGGGGCTGATTTGGAAACAGTTCCCACGCAACTTCCTATTTTATATCCATGAAATATTGCAGATTTAATTGCAGACTCAACTTAATTCATTCACATGACCGATTATCTAATATTTTGATGTGCAAATGACATTAATTTTGCCAGCAAATGTTTGGTAATAGCTAATGCTACAGTAGAAAAATGAAAAGCTGCTTCTCAAAATCCACACCTGATTCTACCTGGTCCACACCTGACCAAAGCCCACCTCTATAAGGCACTCAATCATGGGGAACACGGTTACTGACTAGCTGTGCTTTATAGTGCTAAAGCTACGTCAAATGTTTTAGAAATCCTTGTTCATTTTGGAATTACAGAGCATATGATTTGTACCTGTGTCTGCACAACACTTGCTTCTTGGCTTAGATCTCCAAGTTTCATGGTGTAGGTTTTCAGTTCCTCAACAGTTGGGGTTTTAATGCTACATATAGCACCTCTCGGCAGAATATTCAGTTCTGTTGTAATCTAACATTTGGAAAAGCAAATTACAGTTAGATAATGTTTCAGATTAAACACTGAACCACACTGCTACATAATTTTTTTAAATCAGTTGCAATGCATTAAAATAAAACCACCTGGAACATATGGGTCACATTTCAGTAAGACAGACAGACAGTTCACCTGCAAAAAGGGCTTTTATTCCTGTTGCATCCACCAAATCCTATTTGTGCACTATGCAAAGGGGCCAGCTGGGTCTTTGGCTAAAACATAGTCCTATGGGTTTCAGTCCTTCAAAGCTACAGGCTGCAGTCCTCAGTAGGGCAACCCCCCTTGATTATTAAGTTCTCCCTGAGTGAGTACTGCATGTTCTAATCCTTCACTGCTCATGATCCTCCTTGAGTAATTGACACTGGCTTTTGTAATGGAATTATTTCTGAGAACACAAAAGAGGAAGTTATTCAGCTTAAGCAGTAATGATGGTTCTTCCAGATGTGTGTTCCTAGGGGTGCTCCAGTATAGGTGTATGTGCGCCCCTAATTGGAGATTTTTGGTAGCAGTGTCTGTTGAGCCTATGCATGTGCTCTCTCTTCCTCGAGGTCTGCCTTGAGGCCATCTAGCACTGCGCAGGCGAAAGCCCTTCACACTTTCTTCTCCACTGCCGAACCCTATAGAGAACTCTGAAGTACAGGGGAGGAGGGTGGGTTGTGGGGGGACACATCTTGAAAACTATCATTACTGCACAAGGTGAATAACTTCGTCCTCTTCTTTGAGTAGTGTCCTGATGGGTGCTCCACTGCAGGTGACTTCCAAGCAGTACCTACCACTGGAGGCTGGGACTTCGGAATAGAGTCTGTTACTACACGGAGTACTACGGAGTCAAAGATGGTGTTGGGGGCCGCAGCTTCGGTGATCACATAATGATCAGTGAGTGCTTGGGGAAAGACCCAAGTTGCTGCTCTACAGATAACTGAGATAGGGCTATCTGTACGGACCGTGACCAAGATAGAAATTGGCCTTGTGGAATGCATATGGACTCTGGACAGAAGTACATCACATGCCCTTGATGAACACGGATGAATGCAACCAGACACCCATTTGGATATTTTCTGAGCCAATATCACAGAGCTTTGGGATCTTTCTGTGGATGAAGTGAAGAGTTTAGGAGATTGCCTACCATCCCTCGTCCTCTCCAAATAGAATACTAGTGTTCTTCTAACACGTAGCACACTCAGAATAGTCTCCCTGTTTTCACAGAGTGGTTTTTGGGGAAAAAACAGGGAGATTGATCTCTTGATTTATATGGAAAAATAAAGACACAATCAGGATAAACTTGATATATGGTCTTAGAGTTACTCTGTCTTTAAAAAAAAAGCTGTGAATGGTGAGTGTGCCACCAGAGTCAATATTTTCTCCTATGTTCCTAGTTGAGGAGATGGCAATTAGAAATTGACTATCTCTCGTCCATGTGTCTTCACGGATGTACAAGAGAGCAAGTTGCCATGGACTCAAAGGGAAGTCTAGCCCTGAGAATTAGGTTATGATTCCACACTGGAGCGGGTGGTGTCATACACGGGAAGAAGATTCTCAGTGTCCTTAAGGAATCTATGCAAAGGCAGGTGAGCAAACACTAAATATATCTCTACCTAGTGATGAAAGGATATTTCCACTGCAAGATGTACCTGAATAGAGCTGAATGGGAGTTTTGGCCTCTTGAGGTCTACAATGAAGTGCAAAATCAGAAGGAGGCTGCCTCTATGTGTTTAGATTAACAACTTGGAATCGTTTCCATTTTATAGATAAGTATGTTGAATGGTCAACTTTAGCCATGTAGCAACACATCTTTTATCTCATCAGAACATTCTGTTTCTAAGCCCTGGAACTAAGAAGGAGCCACACCTGCAGGCAAAGGACTCACAGGTTGGAGTAAAGGAGAAGGACATTTTTTTTGAGAGATCATGTGAGGAATCAGCCAAGGAGCAACGAGAGGGCAAACAGGTATTCCTCTGACTTCTCTAGCACAATCTGTTTACTAATTCATCCTTTTTAAAGATGACCTGAAATTGCTACTTTTCTGTCTCCAGTACATGTTGCAGAAATGCTGACTTTTCCATAATTACCAAAATCATATGTGGCCATAATAGTTTGCTAATTGACAATTCTAAACAGCTCTGTCAACAACAAATACTCCTTTTTGCCAAACCTAATTGTATGGGGCTGAGTCGGCATAATGTTGGTTGCTTCATGCATTAACCACAACCACAATGATAAGAATTGGGTTACAGATGTTGAAATAGGAAGTCTCCCGCTTTAAGGGATGAAGGGGTTTGGGGGGGGGGGGAAAGGAGGGGCACACGCTTTGTTGCTGTAGACAACTTTGGTAGGACCTAGAATCTCCTCATTAATTGGGAAGGCAATTCTGGATGAGGAGGTGTGCAGACTATCCTTCAACTTGTGATACGAATCTGTCACCTCTTATAGGGAAATCTGCAGCTCATCTGTCACCCTCGTAGCAAAATCCTTCAAGTTCTTATGATCATCACCTAGGAAGAGGCAATGGGAGGGAGACCACATCTGGCAAAGATAAGGAGAAGTTTGCTGGAGGGGTAGCTTTCCCTTTGAGCCCTTCTTCCTGTTCTGAAAAAAAGCTTCCTTCACCCCTGGTTCAGGGGCTCTGGACAGACACATGGGAGGAGACCATCTGATGGTCTCTCCCTGAGACACACTGGATGGCTGAGACAGGTGTGTACATATCGCCCAAGGACTGCAATAAGGCAATGAGGGAAGCATGCATGTTGGGGTTATCCCAGGTGTCCCATACCACAATTGTGGGTTGGCTTGATGGACGTGGGGAGGATCCCTGTATTGTGACAATGGGCCACAACTTCCTCCTAGCTGCTGTCAGACTTGTCACTGGGTAAGGGCAGTACTGACTGGGGCACTGGCTGTACACAACTTGGTGCCAAGACCAATTTTGGGTGCCTGGATGTGCTCAGTACTAGGGCCCTGGTACGATGTAGTGGGGATTGCAGTTCTTCCCCACCCATCAGGTCTCCATGGTACCAGAGTTGATGTGGTACCCTGCGCTCACTTGGTTCCACAGACAAATACCAATGATGGAGATGGTGCAGAGCACCTCCCTTGATGAGAGTTTTGCTGCACCATGTAACTGCAAGTGGAAGTTTTGTCACTTCTGATATCAACAGTTCTCTCTGTGTCACTCTTTTAGAGACAGTACGATAATTGTTTCCTTAACGTTGGGGCGGGGGGCTCTGAGTACCATGCTTCAGAGCTGCTGGTGAACCATACTGAGGTGGCCACACTGGGAAAGCCCCTCTGGTTGGCCAATCACTCAGAGCTTGTTTTTACCAGCCTTTACAGGAGGAGTCTGCTGTGGGGTTTTTGGTTGTTGTTGTTTTTTGGGGGGAGGGAGGGGAGAAGGGCTCTATCCCACCTCTTTAGTTAAAGCATCTGTGGGGATAATCAGTTTGGGAGCCTCCTGGAGACTGAAGTGCTTTCTCCATAAGGAACTGTTTTAAACTTCAGCTCCCTGTGCCTGTGAGACTGTCATTTTCACTGTGGCAATGGAAGCACTTCCTGGAGGCTGTCCCAGGTTATGAGAGTGCCTGGCTACTATAGGAACTGCTTCTAGGAGAGACAACGCTCAGAGCTGTTCAAGCTAAGAATGCCCCCCAAGTGGGGGCAGACAGATCAATCCCTAGAAATAAGAAATGCAGAGGAAATGTCTTCTTTACGCCTCCTCTTCTTTTTTTAATCAGAAAAAAGGAAAAAACCCTAATCTTTTACATGGGGGGGGGGGGGGGAGAGCTGCCCCTAGACTAGACAGGAAACAAACTGAAGTTTTCCTTCTTTCACTTTTTTTTTTTTAATTCCAAGGGAGTAAAAAAAAAAGAAAAGAAAAGGGAAACACTATTAAAAGAGAACAAAAGAAAGAAAAATTTCAGTTTTTTTAGTAACTAAAAAAAAACCCCTTTAAAAGTAATGAATAGTTTTGCAGCACCTTAGAGACTAATAAAAAATGTAGATAGTATCATGAGCTTTTGTGGGTACAAGCCACTTCTTCAGATGAATCAAAAGAAACAAAAACAGCGACTAATTATGCTAATGATACAGCTAAGGAAGGGACAAAGGAAGGACTTTTTCCAGCCCAATGTTAGATAGCCTCTAGGCAGACCAGGAGGGAGGGAGAACACATGCTGAGGCCACTGCTACCAAAAATCTCTGATTATAAGTGCAGGAGCACACATGTGCCTACAGTGGGGCCCCCGTGGGGACACTACACTAAGAAGAATCTCAGCTTGTTTGTAGAAGTTTTTTTTAAAATACAAGTGAACAAAACTGACAACAGTACAAGTCACTGATGTTTCCACATAGTAAAAACCTGAAAGGTCATACTAACAATCTTCAACCCCTGCAACCCAAACTTTGCTTTGACATACACCATTTATCTTAGAGAGGATAAATCTAGTCCCACAATAGTGGATATCAGGATCGAATCTTAGTGTTTGTCCACACACATGCAGCTGCAAGAAATAGGCTAATCTCTATCTGTGCTATTTAGCCTGGACCAAATCCTCACTACAGCTGCAACATCAGCGCGCCCACACAAGCGTCTGGGGCTGAATCTAGGGGGGTGCACACTTTGGGGTGGGGTCACTGGTAGTACAAATGGTAGCTGCATAAGCTTCAGTTATTGTTATGTGTTTTGTTAATGCTATTCATTTCTAATTCTGTTAATCCCTGTTTATTTAAATTAAGTAAAGATTGTTTATTGTAAAGTGTTCTATTAGATGTACAGGCAGTCCCTGGGTTACGTACAAGATAGGGACTGTCGGTTTGTTCTTAAGTTGAATTTGTATGTACGTCGGAACTGGTACATATTGTAGGGGAAACTCTAGCCAAACATTTCTCCAGAGCTCAGTTTTATTCTCCCACACCTCACTTCCCTCAGTCCTTTATTCTCAAGCTGAGGTGTCTGCTGAGAAAAGCCGCTCCGCGTCTCCCTGGTCTGCTGGGAGGGGGCGGGGGGCGCGCTAGCTTCACGTCTGCCTGGTCTGCTGGGGGGAAGCAGCTAGTGCAGGGTTGCCTCACCCCGTTTGTAAGTAGGGATCCGATGTAAGTCGGATCCATGTAACCCGGGGACTGCCTGTAAGGGTAGGTGTTAGCATCAGGCCTCATTGTTTAACACAAGAATTCATCTAGATGGCTACCTATTCTCCTCATCATGGCAGAAACGTCAAGAAACTTAAAAGAAAAGCGGTAATGACTACTCACAATGGCTGTCAAGGATGAGAGAGAGAAAACATAATATTAAAAAGGCTGTGTAAGAATACCACTGACTATTATAAATTATTATTTCAACTGGACAGCTATTACAGTTTTCAATTGTTTAATGATGTTAAGAGAGATTATATGAAGAAACAGAAAGCAAAATGTATTAATCTATGCCTTTGTGATAACTTAATAATCAGTTCATTTTGGATGTAATTTTTTCACTTTGAAAGGTAATAACTACTTTGTGTTGGAACGCACATAAACGAACCTGAGGGTCAGCAAGCTGACACAGAGGAGACTTCATCGTAGCAGACAGTTCTTGTTGTAAATATTGCCACTTATCACCAGTCTGGTCCCTCAAAAACAGATCAGCTAACTCACTCCTTGGGATAGATGAATCACTGCTGTATAATATTCAAAGAACATTACCATAAGAACAAGGAAAGATAAGGACAGAATAAAGCATAGAACTATCTCCCCTTAACCCACTCTCCTGCCTTCCTATATGCCCCCAGTGAAGCCAACAGAATGTGTGATTTTAGCCTCGCCATTAATCACATTTTTTGCTACTCCCTTTCCACCCCCCCAACTTTGTTGTGCTTGTTATTCACTGAGATTGCAATCCTGCAAAGATCTGAAAACATGCTTAACTTTATGCATTGTGAAAAGCATTCAGCGACTTCTTTAATTCAGTGAGATGACTCCAGAAAATAAATTTAAGTTTCTACTTATATCCTTGCAGGACTAGGGTCTTAAGCTGTCAGCTTCTTGGAGGTAGGGTCTCTATCTCCACATGTCTGTATAGTACTTGCACACAGTTGGCACAACCGAAATAATAAATAATAATAATAATAATAATAATAATCTTTTTTTCAAGCTTTCCCATTCATTCGGTCTTAACTTATCACCAAATGTTGTATGAAAGAGATGAAATAAAAGATAGTAATAATGTTAGCCCTCCTTCCGAACACACTCATAGAATATTTATATTCCATGTCTATCAATCAGGTGGTGTATTATTTTTAATTGCCATCAGCATAATATTCTAGGCAGCACCACAGACATTTAAAAGCATGGGCATAATGTAGCATGCAGTGTTTGGGCAGAATGCAATGCAGCACAGCAGAAGGCCTCTTACAATGGTGTGTACAACAAAGGCAATTACACGTGTAGCTACACCATGCAGTGAAAGGGGCTGGCAGTAGGGAGGTGGGGAGGGCTTTGGCTGGAGCCTTTTCCCTCTGCCTGAGCTTTTGCTTGCTGCCAGAGACTTTGTACAGATGGGAAAGGCCCTAGCAGGGCAGGCAGCAGGATACCACACTGCTAAAAATAACAAGGTAGACATGGCAGACATTGCTTGGCTGGGCAGAGAGCTGTGTAGGGTAGATACCTAGGAGGTCACACGTAGTGTAGCTCACAAATTGCATATATTACAAAACTTTGGCACATATCTAGAAGCCACACTCAATGACTAATTTTTCTATTTTGTACCTTGAATCTAATTTCTGAGTAGCACCGTCAGCAAAGTGTGGCTGCATTTTTTCTACATACAACTTGATGAAGTCGACAAGATTATTTTGCTCAGTGGGTTTTAACAGCAGGTCCTGGAAATAAGGAACAATGTGAATGATCAAGTAAAGTGTGTAAATCATGTTCTTCTCAAAGAAGAAAAAACAGTTACCAGAACAAAAAGCAAGTGATTATATACATGGGAACTACATAGAACTTTACCAAATACATAACTTTTTTTTAAGATTATCTAAAAATAGACTATGTTGAGATCTAAAAATAATAAACCATAAAAATGCAGGGCTGGAAGACATCTTAAAAGGTCTTCTATTCAGTCCCCATGCTAAGGCAGGATTAAGTAAATCTAGGCCAGTGGTCCCCAACTTGGTGTCCACGGGCGCCCTGGTGCCTGCTGGGGCATTTACATGAGCCCGCCTAGTGATCAGGGTTGGCCCAAGCCATTCTTGCGCCCCGGGCATGCGGCATGTGTGCAGCAGCGCCCCAGGCGTGCGGCATATGCACAGCCCCCGCCCTGGTGCACGGCGCATGCACGGTCTCACCCCCGGCAACCCCAAAAGGTTGGGGACCACTGATCTAGGCTATAGGTGTTGGCAAACTTGTTCTTAAAACCTTCAGTAACTGGGATTCCACAGTCTCTCTAATTGCCTTCCTTGATCACATTGGGGCAGGAGAACAGAGCGTTTAACTACTGTGTTTAATCAGAAGAGGGAGTTAAAACAGAAATTCAGCAACTCGGGTCTCCTGTGATTCAGTCTGGATTGTTTACTTGAGTACTCTTCAAAGAGAGAAGGAACAAAAAGGGAAAAGCTGATTTTCAAAAAGCAGAATCAACAGTATTATGTACAGAACAGAGAACATGACCTCATATGTTTAATCTGCTAACAATAAACTTAAAAGGCACTATGGGCTAGATTGTGTGTTAAATTTTCAAAAGCACCTCAATTACCCAGGAGCCTCAAGTCCTATTTTCAAAAGAGACAAATATTTAGGGCCAGATTTTCAAAGCTATGTAAGTGCTTAAGGTGAAGACAGGTGCCCAGTGGCATTTTCAGAAGTTCCTGAAGAGGTTCATCATGAGTTTAGGTCAGTGGTTCCTAACCTGTGGTCTGTGATGGTACTGTAGGGGGTCTGCGGAAAGTTTAAAATAGAGCCAGTACATCCTTCAGCCCACATTGCTTTCTGAGCCATGGGAAGAAACACGGGTCGAAGGATGTGCCAGCAGCCAGCAAGTCCCTCCGCCCGTGTTGCTTCCTGAGTGGGCTGAGGGATGTGGCTTGGGAATCAGAGAAGGCTGAAGTATGTGTAGGCTGCAGGCACAGCATTGTTTGGGGTGGGGGGCGGGGGTAGGTCATAAAATTTTAATAGACTGAAAAGGGGTCCATATGCTCAAAAAGATTGGGAGCCACTGGGTTAGGTGCTTTTGAATATCTAGCCCTTAGGAATCCAAGTCCCTCTCACTTCCAATTGGAGTTAGATTCCTAAGTGCCCAAGACACTTTTGACAAGTTGTCCCCATGCCTCTAGGCACAGCCATGATGAAGTTGGGCCATGTAAGCTGTCCGGAACCACACCTCAAGGGTTTGTCCACACTCCAATTTAGTTAAATAGGAGATGCTTTGTGTGATGACTGGACTCTTTGTGGATGCTTTGGGGACTGGACTCGATGATCTCTCGTGGTCCCTTCCAGTCCTAGTATTCTATGACACTTTTACCTCAGCTTAGGCCTGTTAAATAACACTCACTGGCAGAGTTGTCCTGTCCATAGAATGGTTTGGGGTGGGGCTGCCCTAAGCCCCGCACTTTTGGGGCCCCTTGGTGGCCACCCCAGCCATCCTATGGACAGGACCTGGAAGATTACCAGGTGGCCTGGCGTGGCAGCGGTAGGGACTGCCCTACTGCTTTCAGCCCAGCAGCAGGATTCAGAACAGCCCGGCAGCTTGCTCTGCACCACCCTGTTCCGTCGTCCCTGCCGGGCCCACGGCACTCAATTTATCAACAGCAGTGAGAAGCAGAATACCCAGGCCCCAGGGTGCTCCACTTCCCACTGCTGTGGAGACGCAGGACTCAGCAGGCTGGGAGGATGGCATGGCAGAGTGGAGCAAGCTGCAGGCCCCGTAATCCCCTGGGCTGTATTGCTTGGGGATGAGTTTGTGAAAGGAGCGAAGGTAAGACAGGGCCTGCAGGGGGTAGCCCCAAGCCCAGTGCCCCTCATAGGACGGCCTTGCTCACTGTTCCTTTCCAGCTCCAAACAGTAGTACTTTGATGTTTCCCTTTACCAGGAACAAACCACATCGTCCGACCCCTGCTTCTCAAGTGCTCAGGATTTGAGAATAGTGATAGAAATGTAGCCGTGTTAGTCTGGGGTAGTTGAAGCAAAATGCAGGACAATGTAGCACTTTAAAGACTAACAAGATGGTTTATTAGATGATGAGCTTTCGTGGGCCAGACCCACTTCCTCAGATCAAATAGTGGTGGATCCAAAGCTCTTCCCATTCCTTTCCCAAGTCTCCTACTCAAGGCTGTGCCCTCTTATGCCCACATGCCCAGGACCAAGACAGGGTAACAAGCACAGAAATGCAAGGACGCCTCTCCCTCCCTGTGGAGGTACATAATCCAAGTCACAGTCTAGCCCTAACAGCAGAGCACATCTGAACATAGCAGATAACAGACAACTGCTCTTCATGCTTGTGGGATGAGCAGTCAGATTACCTGACGCTGCTGCAAACCTTTACATCTGCTCAATGGTGGCGTGTCGGTGGTAATCAAGTTGGATACTTTGGAGCTGCCAGGTTGGGGGAGCTCTGAAGGGATCCTTTCACAGTTGTGCTGTGAAGTGAGACAGACATTTGTTAGAGCTCTCAGAATTGAAAAGATGGCAAAACATGTGTGCAGTTTAGAGAAGAGATATCATGACAGGCTCTGAAAAATAAACAGGGGATGAAGCTCAGGCAATTTCTCAGAAGGGTGGAACAAGGCTGCTACTAGAGGATTGCTGCAAAGACTTTTGTGAGGTTTCACCTGGGGAGACTTTGAATTTATCCTCATCTCCAAGTAAAATCCTCTCTTAGTTGTTCACCTCTCCCACATTATTGGTAGCAGACTTACAGGAAAGCATGGTTTTGGAAGTCTCATTGACACCTGAATAAACTATGATGAGGTGCAATTTATGTGTGTAAACTAGCTTCCAACTTACAAATGGCTTGTATGGTCCAGAAGCTTTGTAGATTTTCTGCCTGGTGATACTTGTAGAGGTATGTTGGTATTCAACAGGAATGTTTAGCATCACTAGTCCTTCCCTGGATACCTGAGCTCACCCTTCAGGCAGTGCAGTTTCAGGGGAGGTGACACTGCAGCTGCCTTTGCCAATAGCATGCTCACCTCTAGCAGACTTTCTTGAAGCCATCATAAACAGAGGGGGTGGGGAGCTCCCCTGTAGCTGTAAGTGACTGCAAATAAGTCAGTCAATCTCAGCCCAGATATTCAAAGAGATACTCAGAGGAGTACTGAACACAAAGAACAGCCTATTGTCACTTCCCTTGCTACTCCTGTTCTCTGAAGAGAAGGCTACAGTCTCCAGAAGTGCCTCCCTCCCCCTGGGATCTTTATTGTACAAAACATTTAAAAAAAAGTCTTTAAAATATTTTTTGCATTCGCTCGCATTTGTGACTCACAAAACCTTGACCTCAGACACTATGCTCTTTAAGCAAAATGAAATCGTTCAGAGAACCACTAAAATGCATTACAAGCAGAAAGCTGCACATAATTATACAGCACTGCAAACTGAAATGACAGTGAGTGATGTTCACACTCATTTGCATCCATCCCTTAATTTCACATAGACTGTTATAACTAGTCCGCTGAAGCTTTCTCCTATTGCAGCACAATGTCTCTCTTATTGGACTTTGCATAGAATTCAGGATTCTTACCTGTTCTTCACTGTATTTGTCCTGAAGCAACACCTGGACTTTTTCCAAACTGCACTTAACATCCTTCAGCTTCAAGGAAAGGGCCTCAGCTTCTTGCTGAGGAACTGCACTATCTCCTTGTTGCCTATCTCTGCAATCCTCCAATAAAGAAACAACCTTTTGTTCTAACTCTGACAACATAACCTAAGAAAGAAAGTAGTTAAATTACTCATCCTTATAAACACACTCTAGTCACTGTTCATACTTCAGGGCTACATCTACACTGGCATGATTTTCCGGAAATGCTTTTAACGGAAAAGTTTTCCATTAAAAGAAAATGTTACATGTGTGCCTTCTAAACTGAAAAGCTAATTGTCAAATATTTGTTTCTCACAAAAGGTACTTGTAATCAAGTCACCCATTAACTTTCTCTTTGGCAAACTACATACAGTAAAGGAATTTTTATTCTGTATGTTGGGGGATGTGGGGTGCTGGTAAGTGAACAATTCCTGGTAACAAAGAGTGAGGGAGTTTGGGCGCAGGAGCAGGTGCGCGGCTGGGCTGGGGATGTGTGGGGAGGGAATTTGGATGTGGGAGGGGGCTCATGAATTGGGGCATGGAGAGAGGTTTTGGGGTGCCAGATCCAGATGGATCCCCATAAGCGATGACGTGCCCCAGCTGCTCCCGGCAGAGGCATGGCTAGATGGCTATACGCTCTGCCTGCACCCACAGGAGCTAACCCAACTGCTCCCATTGGCTGCGATTCCTGGCCAACAAGAGCTGTGAAACCAGTGCAGGGCAGTGGCAATGCAGAGCCACCTAGTCACATCCATCAGGAGCAACAGGGATAGGTTACTGCTTGCAGGGAGTCTCCAGGATAATTGCACTCTGGTTCTGAGACCCTGAATCCCCTCATATGCCCCAACACCCTGCCCCAAGCTCCCTCCCACACTCAAACTCCCTCCCAGAGCCCATGTCCACACCCTATCCCATGCCTCAAATCCTAGCCCACAAATACTCACACACTCTAAACGTTTGTGGCCATTTCTCAATCTAGGAGCAGCAAGTAGGTACCCTGCTGGCCCTGTGCCAATCAGCCTATAAATCAGACTTTCAATGAAAATATACCCCCTGTTCCTATTCGTCATTCTGGTTTATGCATCTGAGGGCTGCATTAGCATTTTTGGCCACTGTATTGCACTGGAGTTTACATCAGATGAATGTCCACCATGATCCCTGAAGTCTTGGAGTGACTTGGAGATCAGTGAGTGAGGAAAGGAAATTGCTTTGGCTACATTAATACAAAACATGTAGATAGTATCATGAGCTTTCATGGGCACAGCCCACTTCTTCAGATGACCGGAGTGTTGGTATTAAACTCTGACTATATTGTAAACCCCATTTAATACCAATATAGTCAGAGTTTAATATCAAGTTCAATTTTGACAAGTTGAACTGGTCACCTGTCCTGTCCAAATCCCTCGTCTCAACAAAGCCTAGTAGCATAAATGAGCTGCAAACTTAGATATGCAAGCAAAGCAAATTAATCTTGAAGACTGTTTCACTGTAACTGTGCTTTTACTCTCACTGCTGGAATGCAGAGCCTGCCTTGGCACCAATTGCTCCAAGGGATAGAGGATTTGTGGAAGTTGCAGTTCCATCTGGGTGTATTCCAGTTCTCTGCCAGATTTGACCCTTGAGGTTACATCTGGGATAACCAGATAGTAAGTGAGAAAAATCAAGACGAAGCTTAAGTCTTCAGGATTGGGCCCCAGGGTACAAAACAAAAATTTACATTTTAGAGCACTTTAACCTGAAACGCCTGCACTAAAATAAAATGGACATGTCAAATGGTTAGCTAATTCTCCATTTTGAAACCAAGCTTTTCTCATGGCTGAAGTCACTCTCATACAAAAACGTCTTTTATGCCTTTTACGAGTGAATTTAAACCGGGAAATTTGTTTATGAGTATTATACTATGCAAACCCACATGATCAATGTACATTACAGGAAATTTTTTTATAAACACAAATTTGTTATGCTTTAAGTCATAGCTAAGTTCCCAGATGCTAAAATATACACAAGGAAACTAAATGGGTACAATATGGTTTTAAAAAAGATCACTGGAAAAAAGCAGCTGAAATCTAAATCAAGTGATTACTCTTCTCTACATTGTTCAACAGAGTTATCAGGCACAGGTGCTGGAACTGTAATTGTAGCTTTTATGTAAAACACACCTATTGGGGGAAGGGTGATCGGTTTAGATGGCAGTGGTGAACTCTGACCACTTAATCTTACCTGGCAATCAGCAAGTTGCTGTTCCACCATCTGCTGCATTTCTGGGGTCTGGGTTTCTGATTCCAGAGACACTTTAGCTTTTTCTAGCCACAGCTCCAGCTCTGTAATCTGTGCCTGGCAGACATGGAGGATCTTTTCAGGCTCAGGCCTATTGCTATCCACGGTTTCCTTTGATTCTCCCGGTTTCTTTTGAAAGCACTGGCCAGTGTTTGTGACAGAAGAAGGCGTATCACCCTGAAGCAAAGGACATTCACACAGAAAATCTATCAGCAGAAAATGTTTAACTTTGGCATATAAACAGCTCTGAACCTGCACTGTCACCTTATTCCCAAGTTAAAACAGAAAGAAAAAACTCAACAACTGCACTGAGTGATCACATGATCTGGTGCAAAAAACGTTTCCAAGCAGCGCGCGTTTGCACAGGTATACCTCAGCAGACAGGAAGAACAATGACTCATAGTTAAACAACAAGATATCCCAGAGGATAGGTGTTTTTTTTGGTGTGGCTTTGATCAAAGTGATGTATTCTAAGGCATGCATAGCATGCACTTAGCCAATACTTAACTACTTTTAGGCTACTTTTCAGTTCCAAATATCTTTAATCCATTTTTCATTTAGAATGCAGGTTATACAGAAAACTTTCTAGAGTCTTAACTGAAACCTTCCCTTCAACTTATTTTCACCTTAGGAGCAGCCTTTAACATTCTGCAATAAATACAATTTTCTTAGGTTTTGGACAGCGAGGCAAATTTTCAAAAATGCATACGTAGGTTAGGGGTTGTGCATATGCAGGCACACCCATGCATAAGCAAATCTCTAATTTTTATATACAAATCGAGCATTGCATGTGCAAGGCAAGCATATGAAAAAATGCAGACAGCTGGGCACTAATCTGGTAGTGGAACCATGAGGGATGACAATGTGTAAACAACTACATGCGGTGCCCGGGGGAGGGGGGGAGCCAGGTTTAAGATGGCTCCCCATGAACACTGGATCTGCCTGTTCCCCTCTACCCCCAGGCTCAGCGAGGAGGAGAAGCAGGTGGGAGCTGATACATACAGGGTGCCAGCTCCACGGACCCACTTGCTGCCCTCACCCTGCTACAAAGGCAGGGGGAGCACGCAGGAGTCCCCAACACTGGCTCCACAGTGCCGCCTTCCCCCCGTCCATGTTGCTGCCTCTATCAGAGGCAGCACTGCAGGGAGGGTAGGGCCGGGGAAGCTACTGTGAATAAGCCCGTGTTCGCGTGGCAGCAGCCCATTGGTGGGGGGATAGTCTGAATTCCCCATGAACAGGGACTGTTGCCATGGAACACTCTCTGACTGCGGTGAACACAGGCCCCCTGTGGACAGGGGCTGCTAGGGTGGCCAGGTGTCCAGTATTCTACTGGACAGTCCGGTATCTGCGCTCTTTGTCCGGTAAAAAAAAAATCAGAGAATACTGGACATGTGCAATGTCCGGTATCTCTGATTTTTCCAGCTGCGCACAGGATGGAAGCCTGGCGTGGGCAGGGGGAGCGGCTGGAAGGCAGGGCCACGATCGGCACTAGGAGCCTGTGATTGTACAGAAGTCTGGCGGGGGGAGTGGCTAGGAGTCACAGGCTCCCAGCAGCGATTGGAGTCACAGGCCTCCCAGCCTGGGAGTCCCACCTGGGAGGCGGGATTGTGATCACCATTCTGGACATTATCATCTAGCGTTCCCTTTTTTTTTTCTGGCTCGCCCAAAAAATGACCACGTCTGGTATTTTTTGGGAGACCATCTGGCAACCCTAACTGCTGCCACCCCACACTGCTGCCTCTGGTAGAGAGGCAGCAGCACAAGGTGGTGGGGGCTCTTCCCGGGAGTGGAACTAGGAGCTCATTGGCTGCCAACCCTGCCTCCAGGGACAATCAAAGAGTTGTGTAACCTCTAAAATTGGTTACACAACTATTCAATTACACACTAAGTAACATTCCTAGGAACAATAACTGCACACACACCAACAGCATGAGTAGGTGGATGACAAGATTGGAAAAATATAAGGTTTTAAATAATACATTATGTTACTTCATTAAATAAGTAAAATGTCACTTTTGTTATTTGTCTTAAGTGGCCTGGAACGTGGCCATTCTGAATTAAACATACAAAAACAACTCCCCCCCCCCAATTTAATACTACAGATCCAGGAACTGATTAAATATATACCTGTGAACAAGTGTTCTTGTATGTGTTTGCACAAGCATAACTGTCCGCTGAGATTTTCAGCTTTAGGTCTAAATGTGTTTGATATTACAAGTTCATTCACTCACATACATATGGAAGGGTGAAAAAAGATTAATTTCTTTTTGGTGTGTAGAGTAAGATTTTTTTAAATGTATCTTTAATACAGGATTTTAAACCTGTACTTGTAGGAAAATGGGATTTCTATCCAGTAGGAAACACCTGACATTTTGAAATTTGTTTCTATTCTCAAATGGAACAAAATTTAAAAGTTTTACTACTGAACTCAATTTTTTTGGAATTTTTTTGGAATTTTTATTCCAACAGCAATGTTTAATTTGATAATGTCAAAACAATAATATTATATACATGAAATATAAAAAAATAAATATATATTAAATATAAAAGTAAAAGCAAAATTGAAACAATAAAGGTCTAAACAAAATGAGAGTCAAACTTATTAACACTGATTTTCTCCTATTAAAAATGGCACTGAAATCAAAACATTCCCACTTCAGTTTAGCTAAAACTTTCCAGCAAAGAAGATGGAGATGGCAATATCATCTGTGAAGTATACCAGTATGTAAAGATATTTTCTAAGTAGAGAACACAAATTAACCCACTTCCTAATGTTAACAGTTCTGTTGTCAGTCAGTACTCTGTCTTGCCCCTCCTTTAAAGCAAATATATTTGTTTGAGGTAGACTGAGCAGTAGTGGATGTTAAGGTGAGACCTAGCCAGCAGTATGTATTAAAACAGTTTCATTTCCATTAACCTAGACTGAATTCAAAGATATTTAATATTTTTATAATTTAGCTCCAAATGTCTTTCCACGTAGGCCTGCTATAGCACCAGAATAAATGCACATTGGTCAAGTGCATACTGAACTCAATTAGCCACCTGTCAGAACAAGTATTTAATTATCAAAATCCTGGTCTAGCTGAATAAAAAGTCTCTCTCATGAGAAAGCAAACTGATTTAGTGTTTACAGGAATTAATTTCATTCGTGGTCTAGCTGAATAAAAAGTCTCTCTCACTAAATCAGTTTGCTTTCTCATGTTTACAGGAATTAATTTCATTCTACGATTCTATGTCTGTCCAGTAAATTTATGATCTTGGAAAGAAATCAGTTGAATTCACTTGTATGATGTAATATTTGGGGGAGGAAACTGGGATGGAATCACATTGCCAGCAAAATAACCATATAGGACAATTCAGGGAAGGAAGGACCTCTCCAATGGAAATTTTGTTCCAAGAGTACTAAGGGACATTGGCAGCTATGGTGGCTCTAGGTCCCCCAGTGCTCCCGCTGCTGGTGGCTAGTGGGGAAGCAACTGTTTGTCCCAGGCAACTATTCTTCTGAGTTTCAGGGTATGTCTAGACTGCAGTTTTTCCGGGAAAGAAGCCGATACAAGGATCTAGGTACCCTCACACAGAGTTAGTGCTACAAGAAAACACCATTAGAATAGAAATAATCATTCAGATAGGAGCTCAGCAAGCCAACCACTACCCAGAAGAGTTCCTTTTTACCCCTTCCTGGTTGTAGGAAGGACACCCTCAACCTGCTTCCAATTCCCCGTCAAACAGATGTTTTTTGCAGTATGCCCAGAAGGTCACCAAATTCGGGCTATTTGAGATCAGCATAACTTACCACTGCCTGATTATTAAGGTCGGCAGCACAGTCTTCATCACTTCCAGTTTTCTGTGCAACTTGAAAAGATGTTTCCTTGCTGTGTTTATCACATGATTCTGGTAACACATCAGCATCCTGTCAAAAGAAAGGCAGCAGTGGAAACATGACTATTGTCACTGCTTTGATGTGCTTTGGAAGCCTCAAGGGCTGCAATCACTCAACCCATGCATTGTTTTGGGCCAAGAACAAATACAGGATAGTTCCCTCACAACTGACATAGAGATACATAGAGATAGATAGCTACAGCTCTCACTCCTTTATTGGGAGACAATGGAGAACAGATTGTAGTTGATTAGATTATTCACAGGCTGCCCACTCCTGCTTCAAAAACCACACATCCTCTCCAGGTTGTGCCACACAGAAGGGAGAGTAAACACCCAATAAAAGTCTAATTTTTGTTCTTTAAAAAGGGAGTGGAGGAGAGGGGGTGACCTCTCCGTTAACCTGAATTTGCATTGACATCCTTGCATTTTTGGTAGACATCACATATAGGATAAACTTGAAAAACAACAAAAGGTCTGGTAGCACTTTACAGACTAACAAAACATGTAGATGGTATCATGAGCTTTCATGGGCATAGCCAGCTTCTTCAGATGAACAGTTTTCCCTGTTTGAAGGGCCCATGCTAGACCAATGCACCCCTGGAATCCCATTCAATCGCTGTTCTGAGGACAGAAACAATGCACTGGCCTTGTAGACACCTTCTACACAGGGAAGAACTCCCACATGCAGAGGGTAAACAGGAAGAACATTACCAGGGCAATGCCATCTGATAAGGTGCCAGAGGACCAGGAAGCTCCACTGTCGTCTTTGTCTCGCTCATCTCTTTTTCCTGAAGGCCAAAAACTTTCAGCTGGTGGCACTATGGCATTTTCCTTTGAAAACAGCAAAAGCCCAGCATTAGTTTGAGGACATTGCAGTTCAAAGACTTCTTCAGAAAATGTTAATGGCTGAAACCATTAGCCACTCTATGGTACATTTCTGCTACGATTAGTTTGAGGACATTGCAGTTCAAAGGCTTCTTCAGAAAATGTTGAAACCATTAGCCACTCTATGGTAAATTTCTGCTACAAACATCCTCCTTTATTCAGTAATCTTAACTACACAGTCATCTGTCTACACTAGGGGTCGGCAACTTTTCCCAAGTGGAGTGCCAAGATTTAACCCTATTGCCCTGGGCCGCACCATTCTCCTGGGGGAGTGAGCTCACTTGATCTCCTGCCCTGGGCTCCATTCCGGCTTCTCCTGTGGGGAGGGGAGGAGCAGTGTGCGTACGTTTCCCTGCAAGCCAGATCCAGTGTGGAGCCTTGGGGCTTTCACCCTCCTGTAGGAAGACAGCACTGGCTTCAATCTTGAGGGGGGGTGAGATGCTGGATCGCCAGTATGGGCTCCTCATTGCGGGTTGGGGGGGAGTGAGGGGGAGCCCGTTCATTGTGCCCGTCACCGAAAATCATCTTGCGTGCCACTGTTCTACGCTGTACGTTGCCGACCACCGTTCTACACATTTCCAGTCACCGGTCTCATGATGACAGTTGCCAATGGCCCTTTCTACAGATTTCAAACATTCTAAATTGCTTGTGTTGTTTAAAATACTTTTTTCGATCTCGATAAATTAGTATTTCTTTATCTTTTTCACTTTTGTGCAAATGAAATTGATCACCACAAAGGCACTCAATCCGCACGCCTGAAAACCAAAATTCTTGCTTTATATAAACGTGCACAGCCTGGGCAGTGGTAGCAAAGATTTTCTCACTTGGCCATGCCAACATGCTTTAGTGTTGACCAACTCCAGACATGATAGGCTACCAGAGTTTATGTGCTTCCAATTCTTGGTCTCTCTGCAGTGACTGCCAATGAAGATGCCACTGGGATAATTTGTGAGTAGATATATCTGAAAAAAGACTGAAATCACCAGTGTATTTCCCATTAGCTACTGAAGGCCATCAGATGGTAATAACTATTCATGCTACCAAAAACTGGGTAGGTTATGCACTGTTGTCCTACAGAATACTTAGGCACTAATCTCACAAGCACTTTGGCATGTGTTTTAACTATACATAAATAGCAGAGCTGGCTGAGAATCTTCCTCTGAAAATTATTTTCAGATGGAAAATTCACTTTCCACAAAACCACAAGTCTTCCATGGGAAAATTTCAATTTTACATTGGAAAACTGTTGCCAGCTCCATGGCTGCCCAGCTCCTTTGCAGCCCAGTCAAGAAAATGGCTTGAAACAAAGGCTACAAACTCAACAACATCCCAGAAACCTGGGGAATGGTAGCTCCCACTTTCTTCAATCTGCTCAGAACCCAAGCTCCCCAGCGCCACACCTACCAAAGTAAGATTTTGGAACTGGTGATCTCTGAGGATTTTTTCTCTTGCTCTATTTCAGAATGAATTATTTTTTTTCAATGTTGGCCTTTCCCACAGAATGAGAATTCCAGTATCCAGCCACCTTTAGTGAACAGTTTCATTGACTTCAGAGACTACTCAGATGACCAGAATCAATGGGGATATTCATGCGCTTCAAGTTTAGTGCAGGCATAAGTGTTTGCAGGAGTGGGGACACATACTAAATCATGGGTTCCCAAACTGGGAGAAGTGCCCCCATGGGGGGGGGGCATGAAGAAATTCCAGGGGGGGGCACGCGCAAGGCGACCCAGCCTCCCCCAATCAAGTTTTGCTGCCCGCTCAGTTCCTTTTTTTTCTCAACGAGTTTTGCTGCTTTTTTTTGGCGGGGTGGGGATGAGGGTTTGTTCAAAAATCAAGAAGGGGGGCGTAATGCTGAAAAGTTTGGAAACCACTGTACTATAAGATCTTCCAACATGGGCCACGATTCCTTGTTCATCTGAAACATCACTCAAGTCTA